AACTTCTCTTTCGACTTGAGTTTCTGGCTCTTCAAGAAGAATTCCCACTGAATCTTTCTTGATATTTTCAGTCCAATCCCATTCTTTAAACTCATCTATGATCACGTCCCTGCTGATCATAATCTGCTTTTTCACTGGATCGAACAACTTGTAGCCTCTTGTCGAATGATATCCAACTAGAATCATTTGACTTGACTTATCATCAAGTTTTCTTCTCAACTGATCTGGCACATGTCTATGTGCAATAGATCCAAATACCTTTAGATGACTCAAGCTAGGCTTCACACCAGACCAACATTCTTCTGGAGTAATTCCTTCTAGCTTTTTTATAGGACATCTGTTCAAAATGTATGTTGTAGTCGAAACAGCTTCACCCCAAAACTCTTTAGGTAAATTATTGCCTTTCAACATACTTCTCACCATATTCATGATGGTTAGATTTTTCCTTTCTGCAATTCCATTTTGTTGTGGAGTATAGGGTGGCACCACCTCATGCACAATCCCTTCCTTTTCACATAATTTGTCGAAGTCTTTCGACACATATTCTCCACCACCATCAGTTCTCAAAACTTTGAGCTTTCGACCACTTTGCCTTTAGACCATAGATTTAAACTTGGTAAATACTTCGATCACTTCACTTTTCTTCTTGATTAGGTAAGTCCATAGCTTTCGACTGAAATCATCTATGAATGTAACAAAGTATTTGTTACCTCCCATCGAATCCACCTGGATTGGTCCACATACATCAGAGTATATGACTTCAACACTAGCCTTCGATCTGCTTCCTGCATCCTTGCTGAAGTTATTCTTGTGTTGCTTCGCCTGCATACATTCCTCACATACCTCGTTTGGAATGTCAATTTCTGGAAATCCTGAAACCATATTTCTTCTCTTCAAATCTCTGATGTCTCTGAAGTTGAGATGGCCTAGTCTATAATGCCATATCCATTCATCTCTGCTAGATGCAGTCGAAAGGCACTTGTGCTCCATCACATTTAGTTCAATCTTGAAGGTTCGATTCTGAGGCATAGGAGCCTTCAAGATTAATCTCCCATTTGCATCAACGACTCTCATCATTTTATCTTCGATTGACACTTTATAATTCTTTTCGACCAACTGCCCTATACTGAGCAAATTGCTCTTCATGCCTGGTATGTGCAACACATTGGAGATTACTGACCTTTTTCCATCTTTCCTCATAATCATAACATCACCAATACCTTCAGCTGCTAGGGTATTGTCATTTGCAAATTTTACCATATTTTTCATTGAGGGCTTTATATTGACGAACCAGTCTTTCCTTCCAAACATATGTGATGAACATCCTGAATCTAAGTACCATTGGTCCTTGAATCTATCTTCATCTCTTGTTGTGACCATCAGCATCATCTCTTCTTCTTCTTCATGTTTTGCAAGCTTTGCATCACTTTCTTGATTCTTTCATTTTTCTGGACAATCACTCGAATAGTGACCATACTTCTGACAATTGTAACATTAAATGTGACTCTTATCAGGTTTTCGACCACCACCTCTTCCTCTATTTGCAACACCACCTCTTTGGTTGCCTTGGTATGGTCTTCTTTGATTCGACACGTTTCCTTCAATCTGGTTTCCTCTACTATTCGATTTGTTGTAGCCACCTCTACCTCTACTGAAACACTTTCCTTTGCCTTTGGTTTCTTTTGCTGAATGTGCCTGCAAGGCCACATCACTCTTTGATTTTTCCTGCAGCTCTTTCGTTCATTCTTTGTTCATGAGATTCAAGCGTCCCTTGAAGCTCTTCCTTTGTCAATTTCGACAAGTCTTTCCCCTCTTCTATCGCCACCACTATATGATCGAACTTAGGAGATAAAGATCTCAAGATCTTCGACACAACAACTCTTGTTGTTAACGCTTCTCCACATATCTTGATTTGATTTACTAGTTTTGTAACTCTAGTGAAGAAATCAAATATGCTTTCACTGTCTTCCATCTGAAGCAGTTCATAGGTCCTTTTGTGAGTTTGTAACCTCACTTCTTTCACTTTCTCAGCGCCTCCAAAAGACTTCTCAAGGATTTCCCAAGCTTCTTTTGCAGATTCTGAATCACTAACCTTTTCGAAATTGTATGGGCTGACACATTGATGAATTATAAATAATGTTTTATAACTCAGCTTCTCAGATTCTATGTATTTCTTATTTTCTTCTTCTGAAGCGTTTTCTCCAAGCGTTTAGACTCCATCTTTTACAAGCTCCCAAAGACCTTAACACCTGAATAAGACTTTCATCTGTTTGCACCAATTCTCATAGTTGTCAACTTTCAGAATTGGTAGCGTTGCTGGATAGTTTGCATTCCCATAACTTGTCATTATGAATTCTTCAATCGTTCTTGATTGATACTTCCCTTGAATCGAAACAAAGCTCTGATACCATGTTGGGGGGAGATTATTAGGAGCATTGATGCATAGTGTAGGAACAAGCACCTTTGTGAGAGACCCACCACTTACCCACCTAAAACCTTAAGGTGATAGGTCAGTGGGTTCTCCAACTTATATATGCTTAAGTCTCCACATTCCTATCCAATGTGGGACTATTTCCCCACTTACTCACACTTGCTATATTATTCCAACACTACCCCTCAAGTGTGAGTCCACAATGCTCCCCCACTTGTACCGCACCACTTCTTGGGCGAATTTCGATACAAGTTCCTTTCGGTCCCTTTCTCGAACCAAAGGCTCTGATACCAGATGTTAGAAATCCACCAAAAGACTATGATGAATTTCTAACTCAATGACGATTAGTTATAAGAAAAACAAAGAAAAGAAGACAAGACAAATAATTTTTGCAGAGTTTCTCTCTGCTCACAAACTGTGAAAACTTTCTTATTCACTTTGCAACTGCAAAATACTGTGAATGGCTTGCTTGACTTGCTTACAAAAAATAGGGGTTACTCCCTATATTTATAACTGAGCTTACACCCTAAGCCCAAAGCCCAAAATATCTTTTTGTTACTAAATCAAATCTAGTTTATTCTAGACTTAAATCAAATCTATTTAAATCTAAAATAAATTAAATCTTTTCGACACATAGTTTCGACACACTGGATTACAATTTAACATTTACTACCTTAACTATATTCACAACCCCTTACTTTTATTTAATTTTCTTCTTTATTTTTATTATTTCTATTTTATTTTTTTATAATTATAATATTATATTTATTATTATTATTATTATTATTATTATTATTATTATTATTATTATTATTATTAAATCACATGAATTTTTATTTTCTAAATTCATCTATAAATATCATTTATTTTTATTGCATTAAATTATTCTTTGATCATGCATTTAATAAGATATTTTTTACAATTAAATACATTAAAAAAATATTTAACCAACAATAAAATTATTTTTCATAAATCAAATTAATCTAACAATTAATTTTCGAAAAGGATTGCGAAACATATTTTAATTAATTGTGCGCTATGTCTAAATATCTATGCCATTCACACACCTAAACTAAGTATGCAGGGAATTAAAATATTTGTGTAATCCATAAAAAACACAAACCAACTGCAAACTACGAATTAGGAGTCTGATTCCTCCTAAGAGGATACGTAGGCATACGACTAAAATCGTGGCGAGTTCCCCTAATAAAATACTAAAACCCTATTCCCTAAAAATTGCGCTTCTAACCCTAATATCTTTGTGAACAAGGTAGATGAAGGGTGCCTAACACCTTTCCTTCGTCTAAGATCGAGTCCAACAACCTATAATCTCTAACATATTTAGGTTATCCTTCCCTTTCTTAGAATAAAAATTAAGGGTGGCGACTCTATATTTTAAAACCAGTTACAACTAGAGTTAGAGTAGCTACGATAGCTGGAGGGGGTAATGGCCAAGCTATCGATCTTTTAGGTAAGTGTGTTTACCTTCACGTTCATGTGATCGAAGTTTCTCACTTCATACATATCGCCTATGGGTTGTGTCTTTTCAACGGGGACACGCTCGATTCCCTATTGATAATGAATTTGAACCATATTCTCTATTAGTTGATAGGCTTCATTGAAGGGCTTTTCCATGAGGGCTCCTCCTACAGTAGCCTCAATAGTCATCCTCGTGTTATAGAGAAGACCGTTATAAAAAGCGTGGATTATCAACCACTTTTCTAGATTGTTATAGGGACATAGTCTCATCAAGTTCTTGTATCTTTCCCACGCTTCAAAAAGTAACTCACCTTCACCTTGTCTAAAACATGTTATCTAATTTCTCAAAACCGCAGTTTTACTTGGCCAGAAATACCTCGCTAGGAACACCTTATTTAGTTGGTTCCATGTTATAATGGAATTTTGTGGTAGGGATTGTAGCCAAGCGCAGGCTATGTCCCTCAAGGAGAATGTAAATAGGCGCAGCCGAATGGCTTCGAGGTCCATGACTTTGGTTTTTAAATTGTCAGTGTACTGCACGAACACTGAGGGTGCTAGTTTGGATCCTCTGTATGGTTACCAGAGAACTGATTTTGATGCACAATTTGTAGTAGATAAGGTTTCAACTCAAAAATGTTTTCTTGGATCACAAGGTAAGAAATGCTTGAGTGGGGCTCATCCTAAGATGGGACGAAAAAGACCTTGAGAGGATGAACATCATTTTCAGCCATCACTTAGATGTTTTAATTTGCACAAAATTGTTCTATTTGATATCTTAGATGAAGAAAATGCTTGATTTCATTTATCGGTAGCTCTAAATCATCCCCAGAGTTGGGGGTACTTGGCATACAACTGAGAGAAAAGAAATGCCTTAGTCTAGACGGTGTAAAAACGAATTACGATATTGGCATAATTGGTCGCCAACAATGGCTCCAAATGTAACACCCTCCTAAACCCCATGAATTAATTTAAATTAATTAATTTAAAATCACCATACAATGATGTAACACGTCATAAAACCATAGATCAATCCTGCTCTATAATACGGGTTACCGAAAAGAAAGTTAAATCACACATTTTCATACCTGGGATGTTACACGACATCCAAACACATCTTATAACTCACCTGGGATTAGAACCAGCAAAACGGGCCGTATTAACCTGGCCGGCCCAAAAGTGAGTAAAATATTCCGGGCTTGAACACAAAAAGTTGAGCTCGTTTATTATTTGGGCTTTTAAGCCCGACCCGTTAAAAGACCGAAGTCTAACCGAGCTAGCCCGACTGGCTTGCGGGTAGCCCGCTTATTTTATTTAATTTTTTGTATACATAAATTCTAACATACTTTACTAATAATGCCATTATTTTTTTAAATACACTATAATAATATTTAACCTTTCACACAAATCTCAATTAAAGAATTAGTTTATATAGATACATGATTCATTTTATTTATTTTAAATATTGAATATCATTGACATGAATGTTAATTTTTTTTCTACATTTTATAATTAATAAATTATCATGTACAAATTAATTTTATTAAAGTTTAATTCTTAAATCAAATATGGTGAGTAGTTCTTTATACTTGAATCTTAATTATTTGATTGAAATAGTATATTTATGTGATGTTTTATCTTAGATATGATGTATGTAGTTGAAATATATTATTTTTTATACTCAATATTCATATATATTTTAATTTTTACTATATAGTATATTGATTTTTTAATTATAATAATAAATATTAAATATAATCTGAGCCGGTCCGAATAACCGAAACCCATGAAGGGACGGGCTTGGACAACTTAATTTTATCCCATTTAAATTTCACGCTTTTAAACTCAACCCGTCAAAGGCCCGAGCACGTCACGGGCCGGCCCGAAGCGGGCCGAGTAGCCCGAATGGCCAACTCTACCTGAGATGTTACACGATATCCAAACACATATGAATAGCATCGCATCAGAATATAATTGAAACATATAATCAAACACATCATTGGTCTCATAAAACCTTTTTCAACTTCAATCAACATAAATAAGAGAGTCATAATGTTATACTCTCAACAACATAACACATAGATTCGATAAACAATCAAAAAATGTAAATAACGCAAAAATGGTTTCCATCCTGACGTTACATGATCAGAGCAAGACCCTACTACAAATAAATGATATTAAATGGAAGACACTTAAAGATCTATCCTTCTACTTACTTCAGCAATGCTACTCCTAAGAATCTGCACGTTATCCACATAGAGACAACATTCAAACAGAAGGGATGAGTAGTCATAATTAATTATAAAAGGCATAAAAGTAAAGTAAACTTTAGCAATTATAGTCTACAATTTTACATCATCAATAAAACATATACTCACACCTTCATTCATCACAATTAGTTCACACAACATCTTTATAACAACATTCACACATAGTCATATCATAAACACAAGCATCATTACATCATGATTCATCAACAACTTATACAAATGCCATATAGATTGTTAAATGCAACAACACTGACACAATGTATGTGGTACCAGATTGATTTCCTCTTGGAACCGGAGTACACCAAATCACTACCATCGCCATAGACAGCATTTCACTAAATCCCCGAAAAAAGGATTTAGCTACTCGCACTCGAACCATCACCATAGGAAACGAGGCCATAACATAATTTAGAACATAATAATTTCCACAACATGGATGCATGGACATCTCAACATGCACAACAACATCATCAACATAATATATTCCAACAAAACAACTGCCCTCGAACCATGACCATAGAAAACAAGGCATACAACAACATTATTCAAACATTTCAACAACTCATTAATAAAGCATATAAATAAATACTTTTTAAACACGATAAGCATGTAATTAATAATCAAATAGGTTGCATAACTAAAACATGCTATAGCTCTATTTGTGAGCTTCTCAATGCTTCAAAATATGCATCAAACTGAGTTACAAATCTTAAGTTATGACAATTTTAATTCCCTACTGCCAGCGTCGCCCCTTGCTCGCCTGGTGAAACCCATTATCGCTCGCCTTTCACTCGCCCAACGAACCAACCGCGAATCCATTGTCTGGGCTCGCCACTTGCTCGCCCAATGAATGCCTTGCCTCACGCTCGTTTGATGCTCGCTCGTCGAATCTGCGCAACCATGTAACTTTAGAATTGCGATCGCTACTGTTTACAGGCCCTCCAAGGTCGAGTTTCAAGTACAATAATCATGCAATATGCATCACAATCATATATATATATATATATATATATATATATATATATATATATATATATATATATATATATATATATATATATATATATATATATATATATATATATATATATATCAGAATTTAACAACAATGCATCACATCAATTATAGGTCATGTCAAATCAAACATCATTCTCAACAAATCATTCCATACTCATTCATTATTAATCGAAAAAAACAATAAAATATATGTCTACTCTACCCTTATACCAATCAAAAACAACCAAAATTGTCCACCCTTACCTTGTTACTCCTAACAATCGACTTCTTCAAGCTCTAATGGATGATTGTCTCCTTGATTTCTCTGTGCCCTAGCCTTTTTCTTTCATTCTCCAATTTTTCACGAATGTCACACACTAACACCTTATTCCTTATTTTATTTGTTAACTTTAGACCATTTCTATGATCTTCCCTTTACCCTCATTTACTCCACACACTTACTATTGTACCCTTAGCATCTCTACTCATCTCAATGTTCTATTTTATTATTCTAATTATATAATAAATCACATAAAACTATTATTTTATTAGTTATAATTAACTCTCAACCACACTAATATTCTACTTTATTAATTTACTTATAAACCAACTAACTACAAATTATTTAATCTAATTAATTCTAAGTCAACGTCTAATCCCACTAAAATCCAACAACATATCAATATAAAATCACATAATATTCATAATAAATCATAAAAATACAAACTCTAGATTTGGGGTGTTACAACTCTCCCCCACTTTTAGAATTTTCGTCCCAGAAAATTACTGAAGAAAATAGAGTTGGATATGACTCCCTCACTTGATCTTTGTGTCATACCCCAAATTTGGCCGCCATTTATTTCTATAGTCAAAAATATTTTCAACATTGATTTTTATAATATTCTTTAGTTCAATTTTACTAACATGTTAACAGTAATTTATTTCGCTCATTTAAAAACATATAATAATTTATTTCAAATTATTTTTATTTTAAATGAGTAACATAACATAGTTGGTAAGGAATGAAGTTTACAAGTATGAGGTCGTAGGTTCGAATTTCTTGTGTTGTACTTTTAAACATTTTCTTTTGGTTTTTCAGTATTTTGGGTAACTTACTTTCTAAGTTTTTAAACCTAATTCTATGTCTATAAATAGGACTATTGTCTATCATATTTTTTCATCCACAATTTCATAATCAATTCTTTCTCTTACATTTGTTTTTTCCAGAGATTCTGAATAGAAACTCGGAGAAACAAACCCAAAAGCAACACCATCAATCACCAACAATCATCACAATTTACACTACGCATAATATTTTTCAACCTTTTTCAACATACATTTTTTCAAACCTTTCTTCTGCATTTTTCTATCAACAAATTTTGGTCAATAATTTTATATGAGGCCTCCCGTTGATTTCTAGTTTTTATCCCTTTTTAATTTTAAATTGTTTTAAACACTAAGTGATGATTTATCTGATGATTTTTCTTCTTTTAATTATATTTTTACACTAAATCTCATCCCCTCAAAGTATTTTTACGTTTTATTCGATAGCCACTTTTATTTCATGCTACTTTACAATTTACAATTTTTATTACAGTAATAATTCACAATTTCTAAAAACACGTAATACATATTCATTCACACTAACATTTTTTATTGTACATATACTCCCTCTTTGGTTCTTTTTCAAAACATCCCTGGACCATAGATCTTCAAATCCATTCAAAAAATCCCAAGTTTCATTCAAAATATAACAACATACACCAGTGTCATGCCCATCCATACAATTCACACAATTGTCATGATCTGCATAAATCTTCACCATTGTTTTCTCACGTTAAATATTTTAATTCTTCCATTCACCATCATTTTCATTCATCCAAAAACTACAGCCAAATTCACCAATTCTACACCAGTACCCACCATATCATTAACTTGTACATTACACAATCTCCATTAAAATAAAAAACTAACCCAATTCATAACTATTAAAAAACAACAACTTTAATTTCTTTATTTTATTAACATGTTTTCTGCAGATTACAGAGAGATAGTGTTATTATGTTTGGGAGTTCAAAAGAGATTCAAAGCAAAACAGAAGAAGAAAAGGTTCTCGAGAACACAGCTACGCATCAGATTGATCCCAAATCGCACAACCTCTTTGACATAGCAGCCGCCGACGTTTTCAGGCAAAAATATTCCGATGATGTGCAAGTCCCAGCCGTTCCCTCCGATTGAAGCCCGTCGTCATCGTTCACGTCTTCAACGAGGAAATCCTTCTGGTAATCATGGTTGTTGAAGTCCCTTTTTATTGTTTTCTCTGATTTCAATGATTATGGTTGTTTTGTTGTGAGAAGCTGAAAGAGGTGAGAAGTTTGGGAACGATGCTGAGAAAAAGAGATTCACATGTTTTGATTTTGTTTCTTTATTTTTTATGTTTTCTATTGTTTTTTATATATTAATCATTAGTATCCATGTGTCGCAACTTTGTTGGTTGATGGAATATTGAAAATCCAAAATGGCTTACTAACTCTTTTGAGAAACATGGTTTTCTAATTATATATTTACCTATCAAATAATTTTAGAATTAGGGTTATATGGTTTAGGTTGTGGACTTTAGTAAGCTCTATCATTTGCACTCCTCAGTTAATTTGGACTCAAAATATTTTTGGGTCTATATTTTTTTCTAATACACCATCTAGTCTTAATTTTATACCCTTGTGCGTAAATGAGTCAAGTTCAATTTCTGAACTCAGGCCCTTAATGTCCTCACCCTGCTTTGTGTCCTACCGTAGTCTTTACCAATGAAACACTTAAAATAGCTAATCAGCGATCAAACCATTTTTCTACTAACTTAATAAACTCAAGATATTATTTTCAAGAAAGGATTATGGGAATATCTTCTATCGACTGCAAACTTCGTCTACAAATTCCGCTATTCACACACCCAGACTTGGTTCAAGGAGAAATCGAGATATCTCAATAATCCATAAAAAACACTAACCAAACAACTGCGAACTACGAATTAGGACTTTGATTCCTCATAAGAGGATACGTAGGCATACGACTTAAAATTGTGGCGAGTTCCCCTAATAAAAATTAAAAGCATATTCCTAAATCTTTAACCTAAACCCTAGTATCCTTGTGAACAAGGTAGATGAGGGGTGCCCAACACCTTTCCTTCGTCTAAAACAAGTCAACAACTTAGAATCTTTGATCCAAATTAGGGTTATTCGTTATATTCTCTTTCCTAGGATAAAAATTAATGGTGGCGACTCTTATTTTTAAAATGGTTATTACACTTTGCGCTCCTAAGTCATGCTTTCACCAGCTGACCTTCCCCACACTACATTCATCAAGGAAATATCTTTATCCCGCAACTGCTTCACCTCTCGATCCTCTATCTGCATGGGTGACGTCTCAAAAGTATGATTATCTCTCACCTATACATCATCCACTTGGATCACATGCGATGGTTCCTGAATGTATCTCCTAAACTGAGACACATGAAACACATCGTGAAGATTATCAAGTGGTGGTGGAAAAGCAATCTGATAGGATACTTCTCTTATCCTCTTGATAATATGATACAGGCCAAAAAAATACGGCGTGAGCTTTCTAGATTTCAAGGCTCTGCCAACACCAGTTACATGAGTAACTCTAAAAAACACATGGTCCTCTACTTGGAAATCAAGTGCTTTTCTTCTCTTATCATGATAACTATTCTGACGACTTCGCGAAGCTTTCATCTTATCTTGGATCATCTTGATTTTCTCATTCATCTATTGTACAATCTCAGGTCTGAGCACTGCACTCTCGCCCGACTCATACCAACACAATGAAGTCCTACATCTCCTTCCATATAATGCCTCATATGGTGCCATCTCAATAATATAATAAAAGCTATTATTATAAGTAAACTCAATCAATGGCAAGTGGCTATCCTAAGCACCTCCTTATTTTAGCACATAAGCCCTCAACAAGTCTTCCAAATATTGGATAGTCCTCTCTGTCTGACCGTCTTTCTGCAGATGATAAGCATAACTCAATTTCAGCTTAGTACAAAAGGCATTCTGCAAACTTTTCTAGAACCTTGATGTAAACTGCAGATCTCTATCTGACACAATACTCAAAGGTATACCATGTAATCTCACAATCTCTTCGATATACATCTCAACTAACTTCTGCATGGAATGGTTGATCTTCATCGATAGAAAGTGAGCTAATTTACTCAATCTATACACTATCACCCAAATCGAATCATTTCCCTTAGCAGTCTTTGGAAAACCCGACACAAAATCCATGGAAATGTTGCCCCATTTCCACTGCAAAATATTCAACTCTTGCATCAGACCCAAAGGCTTTTGGTACTAAATCTTTGACTTCTGACAAGTCAGACAAGCGTAAACAAACTCAACAATCTCCTTTTTCATACCGGACCACCAAAATAATTTCTTCAAATCTTGATACATCTTTGTTGCACCGGGATGTATACTTAAACCACTTTGATGTACTTCTTCGAGAATACTCTTCTTAAGTTCTAGAACATCTGGAATACACACTCTATCTCCTAACCTCATCACACCATTATCTCAACTTGGAACTAAAATCTGTTACCTTTGTTGATTAGCAGTAACCGATCAACCAAACTCGGATCAGATCTATGACCTTCTCTGACCTCATCAAGGATACTGCTAGTCAGTTTCAACATACCCAGCTTCACACTATTAGGAGTTTCTTCACAAACCAAGCTCATATCTCTGAATTGCTTCATAAGTTTGAACTGTTGAACCATAAGCATCGACATATGCAAGGACTTTCTACTCAAAGCATCTGCCACAACATTAGCTTTTCCAAGATGGTAACTCAAATCAAAATCATAATATTTTAGAAGTTTAAGCCAACTCCTCTGCCTCATATTCAACTCTTTTTAATCAAACAGATACTTCAGAATCTTGTAACCACTGAACACCTCGAATATGGAGCCAAACAGATAATATCTCCAAATCTTCAACACAAATCCACAGCTGCCAACTCTAAGTCATGTGTAGGATAATTACTTTCATGAACTTTGAGTTGTCTGGAAGCATAAGCAATAACTTGACCATTCTGCATCAGTACACCACCAAGACCTATCTTTGATACATCACAATATACTACAAATGACTCACTCGGATTAGGAAAAATCAACACTGGAGAAATTGTTAACTTCTTCTTTAATTCTACAAAACATTATTCACACGCAACGTCTCATACATAGGATTGACCCTTTCGAGTCAACAAAGATAAAGGTAATGCCAACTTCGAAAAGCCTTCAATAAACCTGCGGTAATAACCAGCCAAACCAAGAAAACTTTATATCTCAGTAGAAGACTTCAGAGTCTCCCATTGCAACATAAAATAAACTTTAGAAGGATCTATAGAAATCCCACCACTCGAAATCACATGGCCGAGGAAACTCACTTCCTTAAATCAGAATTCACATTTCGACAACTTGGTATAAAACTTCCTCTCTCTCTCTCTCTCAATACCTGCAACACAATCTGGATATGTTCTGCATGCTCTCCATCAGTCTTAGAATATATCAAAATATCATCAATGAAGACCACGACAAACTTATCTAAGAACTCATGAAAGATCCGATTTATATACTCCATGAAGACGCTTAGTGCATTAGATACGCCAAACGACATCAAAGTGTACTCGTAGTGACCATATCTCGTCCTAAATGTCATCTTAGAAATATCATTTGGTTTAACACGAATCTGATGGTAACAAGACCTCAAATCAATATTGCTGAACACACACGCACCTACCAATTGATCCATCAAATCATCAATTCTCGGAAGTGGATATTTATTCTTAATAGTCACCTTATTCAACTGCCTGTAGTCCACACACAGCCTCATATTTCCATCCTTCTTCTTAACCAATAACACGTGTGCACCCCACAAAGAAACACTTGGTCAAACAAACTTATTCTCAAGTAATTCTTCCAACTGTTTCTTCAACTCAACCAATTCCTATGTTGACATCCTATAAGAAGCTATTGAAACTGGAGTAGTACCTGGTACCAATTCTATAGCAAACTCTACCTCGCGCTCTAGAGGTAAATCACGGATGTCATCGGGGAATACATCTAGAAAGTCACATATAATAGATAACTCAGTACTTATAGCTTCACGATCGACTTGTAGTGATTCAAACATTGCAAACATCATAGCCTCGTCCTTTAAGAGTTCTTCTACTTGCTTCGCAAATAAAATCATCAACTCCTAATTGTCTCCAAACTCTGAAAACCTTACTATCTTGTTGTAACAGTTGATATGAACATAGTTAAACTCCAACCAATTCAATCCAAGAATAACATCAATTTGGTGCAAGGATAGACACACCAAATCCATCACGAAACTCTTACCATAAATGGTTAAAGGACAACTCAAACAGACTAACATAATAGTCATAGAACCATTAGCTAGAGTATCGATCACCATACTCCCACTCATAGAAGACAATTTCAAACCCAACATAATAGAACATTCAAGCGAAATAAACGAATGAGTCACACCAATATCAATAATACCAACCAACTTAACATTGTTAATAAAACAAGTACCTCGAATCAAGTTGTCCTTCTTGGAATCCTCGGCACCACTCAAAGCAAACACTCTACCACGAGTATGGGAAGTATAAGTTGTAGTCTTCTTCGGTTTCTAACATTGAGTATTGATATGACCCTGATTACCATGATTGAAACAAGTTGGACTGTCATTCTTGCACTCAGAGACACAGTGACTTGTCTTCCCATATTTTAAACATGTAATGACCTTATTTTCGTAATCATTAGCACGGTGGCCCTGCTCGTCGCACTTAAAGCACTTTTGAAAGAAGCGGGTACTCCTCCCCCACTTGTATTCTTCCCATCTGGCACCTTCTGTTTTACTTTATCATCCAGAGCAATATATGGTTTCCCATAATCCTGGTTCTTCCCTTTCTTATCACTAAGACTCTTATAATAAGAAGCTATGTCTCTACTATCTTGATCAAAGATCTCGCACTTGTTCACTAACACAGGAAAATGGAGAATCTCTTGATATCCAATCCCTACTTAATCTCTAGACGCAATTTGTTCTCAAACTTGATGCACTTATACATTTCAGCTATTAGATTGTTATAATGCGGACAAAAATTCACTAGTTCCTCAAACCTAGCTGCATACTCAACAATAGTTGAACTCC